CGCGGGCTGCGCCGCGGGCGCCCCGGCGGTGTCGGAGGCGCCCGCCGGCGCGCCGGGAGCCCCTGCCACGCCGCCGGAGGATCTGCGCGTCCAGAGCGGGGGCAGAAGTTTTGCGCACGATTTCGGGCTGTTTTTTTGAAGATTCGGGCAAGTCAACGTGCATGGTGTTCGCCCCCCCCCCGCCCCCCCCCCTTCACAGCCCTCTTCAGTCGGACGCTAGCGTGCAAGTGCCGTCTTTCGACTGGCGTGATTTCCACACGTCAAGTCGTTCGCGGCTTGCTTCGGGTCAGGCCCCCGCCCGTCCATGCAAGTAAATTTGCCGGAGTCTACAAAACGGGCTCCTCTAGAGGCCCTCGCCGGGCCCCAGGACCGTCAACTAAAAGACTCGCGCGACGAAGAGCCGCTTCCCGGGAAAGGGTCGGGACTTCCGGGGACCGCGCATCGAAAAAATGAGGACTTCGCGTGTCTGGACATGGGTGCGATGGAGGAGGATAGGGGGAGGGGGGAAGGCTTTTTAGAAGCACGCCTGCCTGTTAGAAGGCGCGGGCCTTGTCTATAGATGTACGTAGAGCCGTCTCCTTCTAAGAAGCGGCCTTCTTCTAAGAAGCCTTCCCCTCCTCCCCCTACCCCTTTGTGCGCGCCGCCAACCAACAGCAGCGCCGGTTCATCTGGAACAGACGTGCTGTCTTTTGAGGCCCATCAGGCAGCATCAGGCTTTTGAAGGCACCTGATGTCCAGCTGGGCAAGAATCGCTGTCATACGATTCGCTGTCTGATGGGCCTCGAATTGCAACCAGTGCTTTTTTACATGGGAGGTCGCTGCTGCTGGACATCGTACCACTGTTTTCTGTCCCCTCCCCCGGGCGTGCAGAGAGGACCCGGGCTGGTCTGGTGCCGGCATGGGCGGCTGGACGTTGTCCAGGACTCGCCGGAGGGAGCGTGGGGCCTTTGCGGGGCTCACCGGTCCGAGGTCGGTCGAGAGACCCCCCACCCTGCCTCCGGGGAGCAGAACACGACATGAACACAAGCCTTCGAAGGTACGCGCGGATGTCTCGGCTCGGCGCAGGAGCCCCTCGGCGGCGCCTCCAGCGCCGCCCCTGGCGCGCACCGCGCGCCAGGGAGAGGGATCCAGCGCCGATCCAACAAAAGTCCATGCGGACCTCCGACAGTTTACATGTTTATTGTCATGGTGAAACAGGTGAGCATAATTTGTGTCTCAGGTTTTGCATATTGTGTGCGTGTCATGATCTCACGCGTACTCTTGTTGGCTCAAGGGAAAAACATTTACTGCGCTTGCTGCTGCCACAGTTGGTAGCGGAGCCTGGTTCCAGGCTGGCGGGCCAATGGGCGGCGAGGGACAGCAGCTCTGAGGGCTGCGCCCGGAGGCCGCTCTCGCGCTCCCGGCCAGGGCCAGGCTCGCGCCGCCCGGGCGGCGCGGCCGCGGAGATGCCCGCGGAGGAGGACGACGGATTCGCTGGCGCGACCTTCGACCCAGCCCGCCCCAGCGGGCAGGCATCGGCGGAGGCGACGCCGGCGGCAGGCAACATCGTGACGATTTCCATGGACCAGCTCCGAGAGATTGTAGCCGGCACTGTACGTGAGACCATGGGCGCTGCAAGACCGTCCGGCACGGCTGCCGAGACGGCTGGCGCGGCCGGCTCATCCTCTCGGAGGACAGCAACAGACGGTGATGATGGCGACGGGAGGCCGAAGGATCCTTGGTGGGAGGCAGCAGCAACATCGGATCCCTGGAGTTCCGGCAAGGACCCGTCGCAGTCCTGGCACAAGCCAGGCGACAAGGACGACAAGTGGCAGGACGACGGCTGGAAGAACTCCGGCCAGAGTGACAAGTGGCAGGACGGCTGGTGGGCGAACTCCAGCTCCAGCTGGGGAAAAGGGGACTACTCTGACCCACCAGCGTGGCCCGGATGGGCTCAGTACAGACCCTGGCGTCGTGCACTGCGACGCTGGAACACGAACACGGACGTTCCCCACTGGCGTCGAGAAGAAAAGTTCTTGAAGCTCTTCGACTACGCCATGCAGGCCAAGTTCGACGACATTCCAGAGGCCCAGATCACGGGCCGCGACTGGATCGACGTGGTGTTGGGCCGTATGGACTTGATGATAGGTGAACGCGAGGGAGACGAACTTCGGCGGGCAGGCCGCCGAGCTCTGTTCGAGGCGTCTCGCGAGAACAAAGAGACGCTCATTCAGTATGTGAGTCGTCGTGAAGCTCAATTTCAGGAGGCTGAGACGAACGACCTCTGGATCTCCTCCAAGATGAAGGGGCTCATGCTTGAGGAAGGAGCCAACCTCACGGCCCAAGGTATGCAGAATCTCAGAACGCTCACTCGAGGGAAGCTCGAGTACAGCGACGTGAGCTGGGCCCTGAGGCAAATGGATGCATCAGGTTCTGAGCGGCTCCTGCCAGGTAGGGTGTCGAGTAACTACGCCTAGGGCGAGGGCCCCGGTGATCAGAATTATCTCCCTCCTTCCTCCTTCCCGGTCGGTGGTTCAGAAGGTTCCGACGACCAGGAAGACGACGAGGAGGAGTGCGACGACACCGAGCTGGACGACGAGGCTGCGCTCATGGCAGAGCTCGAGGACCTCGGCCTGGACGAGACGCAGGTGGAGGAGGCCCTGGCCATGATCGAGTCTCGACCTTCGAGCCGTACTTGGAAGCAGAACAAGGAGATCAAGCGCGCTGCGAAGCGCGACAGGGAGTACTTCGGCCCCAAGAAGACTGGATCGGGGCACCCGCCTCCCCCGCGACCAGGAGGTGGCGGCCGCGGGCGGCCGGACCGCGGCAAAGGCCGTGGCAAGGGGCGCCGCCCCAGGCTTTCTCCCGAGCAGCTGATGAAGATCACCCGATGCGGGATATGCAAGGAGAAGGGGCACTGGCACCGTGAGTGCCCCAACAAGGACGACCCCAAGTTCAAGAAGCGGGGCCTGGCCGCATACGCGTTCGACGGTGTCGCGTCGGATCCAGCAGGCTCGTGGGCGGTGTCCCCAGAGACCCTGCAGGACTGGAAGGAGGTCGGCCAGGAGCTGCTGGACAACAGCTGCGTGTACCTCGTGGCCAGGGCGACCCAGGGGCTAGTGGACCCAGGAGCGGGTTCAGACCTGGTTGGGCTCGCGGCGCTGAACCGGGAGTCAAGGGCTCTCGCCGCAGTCGGCATGAAGTACGAGCTGATTCCTCGACAGCATCAGCGGCCCCGCGCTGCTCATGGCGTAGGAGGTGCCGCGAAGGTGGTGACTTCAGTTCTCTTCCCGCTGTGCATGGGAGTAGTGCTCGGCATCATCGAGACGACGGTGCTGCTGGAGGAGGTGCCGCACATTTTGTCGGTCAACCTCCTGGAGTTTCTGGGCTGCGTCATCGACCTGCCCCAGAACAAGATGACCTCCGCCACCCTAGAGACGGACATCCAGCTGACACGTCTTGGTTCGGGCCACCGGATGGCCACGATTGTACAGGCACTTGAGATGCCGCTGGGTGTGCCGGAGTCTGCACTGCGAAAGTACCCTTTTCTTTCACAGAATTCGTTTCAGTTGAACGCTGGCGGCGCGCCAGAGATGCTCGAGTCGGGAGCCCTGAGGGCTTACATCATCCTGGTCATCATCACTCTTGCCGTCATCCCGTTCGTGATAGTGGGCGCCCGGATGATGAGCCTCGAGAGGGCCTACGAGAGGGTTGTCTCGGGGATCAGTGCCTTTGTCGTGGGGATCGGCCTCGCGATGGCCATGCACCGGATAGGGATCAAGCACGAGCCCTTCGGGCTCTCCCAGCCTGGGGCTCAGCTAGCGTCTCGGAGGCTTAGCGTCAGATCCATTGGGGCAACTAAGGCGATATGGCCAGCAAGGGCTGCGACAAGGACCCAGTCCCGACGATCCGGGGCACCTCCGGCAGAGAGCGAGTCCGTAGCCCATCTTGGCTCGAGCCATCAGTCAGACTTCGACGATTTGATCACCGATCAATCAGAGTCCCAGTCGGCATCCAGCAATGGCCCAGAGGCTCTGGGCTCGCTTCCTTTTCCTCACCGGGGCGGCAGCGGCGCCCTCTCCAGCTCCTCGTCAGCTCCCAGGCGCCTACCACGCGACTCAGCGGGCGCTGCAGGAGCTCCACCAGCAGTACTTGGCGGGCGTTGGCGGAGACGGTGGAGAGCAGAGTCCGCTGGTACAGACGGACTCCGACACCGACGCGGCAGGCGAGCAGGGGTTCGCTCAGCAGGATCAGCAGGCAGCGGCTCAGGCGGCACCGACTCCGAATCAGGAGGCAGCGGGACAGCTGCCACCCCAGCCAGCGCCGGTGAGCCTCGCTCCCCAGGGGCTCGGGTACCAGCCGCCACCGCCGCCTTATCCCCCACCCGAGGTGGTTGCAGATCAGGGTCGGGCGCAGCCCCAGCCGGGACCAACGACTACTCCACAGCAGCAGCAGCCTTCAGCGAGCAGCGGGCCGCAGGGGTCCCCAGCGGCCGCACAGGCGCCTCCTCAGGCCGCAGGTGCATCGACCATTCCCGTGAAGCGGGCGCCCGTGCTGACGAAGCCAGCACCACCGCCACTGCCGTTGTCGCCGCTCCCGAAGCCATTCCCGCGGACGGGCAGGCTTCCTCCTCAGCAGGGCGGTCCAGCTCCCATTCCGATCGGGGGCCAACAGGCGGCACCACCTTCGAACGATCGCTCGACTCCAGCTGCCGAGTGCTCCCATCCAGCCGATCAGGTCCAATACTACGGGAACCAGTGGGGAAGCGGTTCCAAGTGTCGAGCCTGCGGTACCAGAATCGCTTGGATACCGAGGGGAGCTGCCGGCGCGGCCGGACAGGGACCTGGAGGACCAGACGATCGTCCGGAGTCGGCTGCGCAGGCAGCCCGTGCGGCGGCCAGGTCGGCCCAGAGGGCTGTGGATATCCTTCAGGAGGCGGACGGTTTCCAGCAGGGGGCGGCAGCTCTCACCATGGTCAACCAGCTCGCGAGCTACCTGCAAGCGTTGCAGTGGCAGCTGCA